AAGTGGCTGGAGAGCCTGGAAAGCCTCTTAGCTAAAAGTTGACTCTCAATAAGAGGCGAAATAGCCTGACGTAGGTGGCAAAGCCGTATCAATCGTATAATTGAATAAGACGTGATCCAAGTCTAAATCACTCACGTCCCCCAGTTTCCTACTATATTTTGCACAAAACGTTGCGGGTCAAGTGATGATAAATGCATGGAAGACTCAATGTAAGACGGAGGGATCGTACCCTGCATAGCAGGGCTCTGTGAACTCTCAGTCCGTGGCCACATTGACAGTTGAAATTGGGTTTCTCCAACACTTTCCACATGGCCACTCTGCAATATCATATCATGTATCTGACCACGGGCCCTGGGCAGATTCCCCAGGATCGATTCTACCCGTGGCAGAAAAAACGGGTACTCTTCCACGACCTCTTTCGTTGCCATGCTGAGCTTGCTGAGCCGTAGTTCTATCCAGTCCACGCGCTCAAGAATGAAGAATGCCGATACGTAGAGGAACAGATCATCGGTGCAGGTGTCAGGGGACAAGGGGTCCGGTCCGGTCCAGCTGAAGGAGCATTCGCTCTCATAGCCAGGATAGAATAGGCATTCGATGAAGGGGGACCTCTCGCCGTATCTTGCATGATTTGGCATGGTGTTAGGTCGGACTAATCGGAGACTGTGATGGTTGGCTGCGAGACAGGGTGGTGGGCTCGGCATATTGGGGGACTCTCTCCAGATTGAACCCAGGTCCAGATCCAAGTCGCAGTCTGAAGAGATTGTCAGTGCTGAAACCAATCATTGAAGCTGATCCAACATACCCATTCGATCAAGGTGTCCCATTCTTCGGGCACCACATGTGCCGATTTGAGGATAGAGCTGGTTTGTGAAGAAATAAAAAATTGGAGTGTGAAGAAAGCACTCGTGAGTTGCAAGTTATATGTATACGCCAGAATGCCTGGCAGGCATTTCGCCGGCGCCGTCACTTGGTTACTTTCTAGCAGCTAGTTTGTTCACATGCGCGAGACAAGGAAGTAAAGCATTAAAAGAATAGGAATATGGAAGTTGGCATTTTCGACCCAATACACTTGTGTGTACTCGACCGGTCTCTAAATTGATCGATTTGTGATGTTCGTTCAAAGTGGAACTGCCCAGTGCCTGAGAAATGCCCCACCCAAGACCCATCCGGTTCAACCAACCCTCGGATCCGTTCACTGTCCGCCCATCCAGTTTAACGGTAAAGCCACAAGTTCTGTTGGACTCCACTCAGCTCACGGAAGCTCACTTGTCTGGTGAAACCGTCTGTCACTATTTTGCAATGTTGCGAGAACTCCCTGGTGTACCGAAACAAAAGCCTGACGACGATCCCACAACAGCAGTTCCTGGTTATTACAGCATTGATGAAGCTTTTCGTTTTCTTTCATCAGCCATTCGTTGGAGCTTTGCAGGAAGCGGCGCTCCTCTTCCAGGCGCATTTTTCCGGCAGACTTGATCATGTAGCACTCCCACAGACAGAGATAGAGGTTCAAGAGGTCGACAGCAGAGGACGCCCAAGAGGGCTTTTCTTGCAGAATTTCGGCGAAGTCGCAGGTGAACGAACATGCACTATCAATCGAAAATGTCTGTATTATGGTCAGAGTCGGTCAAACAGGGACTCGGAGAGGTCTAACCTTTGCCCCCTTGGGTGGCGTTTGTTTCGAGAAACGAGTAGCTTGTTTGGAGCTTTCTGGTGCTCCAGCTGGCTTCTCATCAAAATCTGATGACTCTCGCTTTCTTTTGTTGGCCTGTCCCGAATGAGAGGGGGAGGCAGGAATATCCATTATGTTGGTTCGAGAGACGTGCGGGCTCTCTTGTGTTTCAATGGCAGGGCAGAGATAGGCTTAATGCTCAAGAAGTAGGCTCTTATATACCTTACGCCATGCTGTGGTAGACAAGCTCTTGTATAGACTGAAGGTCGCAGAAAAATTCTCTTCAGCTATCGGAGATACCACGATGAACCGGCCCGCATCGAAACGTTCTCATTTTAAGTAGACTCAACTAAATGATTACCTCAAGAAGGGGAAGATTGCTGCGTTATCTGTTACACCTAAAGGTGCTGCTTTTCTGAGGGCGGGCATGAAATCGCGTGGTGCGTAGGAACTCGCTGGACCGCCTCAACCGTAGGAGCCCCAAGACTAGGGTACAAAAAAACACGCGAAGGGGAAAAAGGGAGATGCGAGCGCCCGTGACTGCAAAATTTGCCAACGAGCAAATATCATCGGCTGAATGGCCTTGAAATTGGCTATATACGGCTTGAAAATTGATGTGTGGCTTGAGCACCCCCCGTAGGCAGCACTAGATTGCACCAGAGCTGCGCAGATATGATGCTTGGTACCAAGTTTTAATGATGCAGATGATAGTAATATTGATTGACAGAGTTATCTAACCCAATTTGGTACTTGAAACGTCGCTATGCGAGACAATTTGCCGCGAAAAAGGAGCAAAGACAAAGAAAAAGCCGCGGAATCAGATCTACAGCTCGTACGGTGACTCCATCAACCCACCCCCTGGACACGCAGAAAGAAACCGAGCTCCCTCCACCGGAACACCATCCCAAATAGAAGGATCAGCCATATCCGCCGGACGAAATGGCACTCGCATCGTATCGTCGCATGTATCGCCGGCGACACTCTTGCCGGCAAAGTCCCATAGAGGACAGGTACGACGCAACAGAAACTGCTGCCCACTGTATCGATCACCGTGGGAGAAGTCGCCGAAAGCAAGGACCCGC